GCACCTGGGGAGATACCTGAACCACGCACCTGGGGAGATACCTGAACGATGCACCATCACTCCACCCCCTCTGCGTGCACACCGCCCCGACCTCCCCGGACTTCTCTGTCTAAAATCTAACTTCTTATTAAATGGAAAAATGTTCTGAGTGTCGTGCTCATACAGATGTGCAACCTTCGCACATGTTTGAAGTACGGGTCAGAGAGGGAGAGACGTGCACGGCCGCAGGAGCGTGCAGCCTGTTTAGTTCCTCTCACGGTGAGAGAGGCTGTTTCTGCTGCTTTAGTTTAAATAAATAAATATTAACGCTAAAAGACGATCGGCGATATGCCCCAGACTATAGCTTTTATTGGATAACCAGAGGTTGTGTGATGAAATCCCAGACATGGAACACACTAGATCTTATTGATGACTGATGTTAGGATGAGCAGTACCTGCTCAGTTGGTCACAGTTGCATGATCATCTTTGTTTGGGATGGAACTGAGTGTTTTTCTTGGTGGAGGACTGAGAAAACACACATTTCTTCAAAGCTCTATCAGTATCTGTGGTGTCCTTGACCTCCGATGAGTTGTCCGTCCATCGTCATGTGCGGTTGTTTAGAGTGAAGAGGAGGTGCCCGAGCTCACAGCCTTGGGGCTCCCCAGTTCAGGAACAGAACACGTTTATTATTTGTCCTCAGGGTAAGTCCGCTCTGACTCACTGTGGTTCGTTCTTCTCCTCTCTGAAGGTGGTGGGTGGTATGACCTGGTGCATCACCACGTGTAACTTTGACATCGATGTGGATCTTCTCTTTCAAGAAAACTCCACCATTGGTCAGAAGATGTAAGTGACGTCACGTCTTCTGGTGGACGTTCCTGCTATCACTTCATGTTTGTGCACTTTTAGCTTTCTGAAATATTTAACCATGTTTTTGTCTCTGAAGAAGAACGGAGCGCTCGTCACATCCTTCAAGCCCTTTAGCTGTTTACAACCTTTTACTGCCAATTTCAGCTTCCTTCGGCTCCTTTTTAGCTCATGTCAGCTTTTTAAGTTGTTTCCAGTTAATTTCAGTCTCTTTTTGCTAATTTCAGACTTTTTTTGTCACTTTTTATTTATTTATTGCTAATTTCAGCTTCTTTTAACGTGTTTTTCTGATAAAATTCAGCTTTTTGTGTTCATGTACTTTTAGGTGCTGTGCAGCTAATTTTAACCTTTTGTTTCTACTTTTTCACTACTTTCTGCCTCTGAGCATGCATCAAGATATTTTCTGCCTCTTGTTCAGCTTCTTTCTGTTAATTTCAGATTTTTTTCTCTGAAACTTTATTCATTCAATCGGTTGTTTTCTAGACGTGTCCATGTTGTTTGGTTGCCAGTGACTTTTGTTCCTTTCAGCTCGACTGAGACCACGATTTATCCAAAACAGCCATATTTATCTTTACCTTATTTTATTTACAGAAAGCCACACAAAGTTTTAATAAACTTGTTTTCTTCTGCTGCCACGTTGGACAACAGCTAAACTGGACAAACTAACGGCAGCTCATTCTGTCAGTTGTGATTCCACCTGCGATCGCGGTTCATGGGCGGAGCTGTGAATTCTTCCTGACTTGTGTTTCGTCGCAGAGCTCTGACGGAGAAAATCGTTTCCGTCCTCCCAAAGATGAAGTGTCCTCATCGCCTGGAGCCCCATCAGATCCAGGGCCTGGACTTCATCCACATCTTCCCGGTCGTACAGGTGAGGCAGACGGCAGGGCAGGACCAGTATCTCTGCTTCCTGCAAACTGATCACTCAGAGAACGATCTAATTTAACAGATCAATACTTTATTTATCGCCCGCTGAAGCATGGCGTCAACTGACCCTAAAAACACAAACATGGGTATAATTTGAGTACATTTTTCAAAATTAAGCTAAAATTTGATGTGGTAGTAGCCGAGAGTCATTCAGGATAAAAACCTTCATAATTCACACTTTTCATCAGCCAGTCCAAGGTCAAAATCACAAATCAAGGTCAAAGGTTATACAGTCTTGACTTGTCCGGGCCGTTGCTACACATCACTGGATGAGTTTGTCAACAGGGGTATGAAGCGCCTTATGCAGTACTCTTTGTGTCGTACGCAGTACTCTTTGTGTCTTACGCAGTACTCTTTGTGTCGTACGCAGTACTCTTTGTGTCGTACGCAGTACTCTTTGTGCCGTACGCAGTACTCCTCTTGGTACCGTACGCAGTACTCTTGGTACCGTACGCAGTACTCCTCTTGGAGGGGGGTGGGCACGCTGCCCCTCCTGAATAACGTTAGGGAAATGCTGAAGCTGTTGTTTGTGTTCATTTTAACATTTTTCTCTTAGAGTTTTAGAACGGCTCATCAGTTCATCAACGATCAGACGGGCCAAGCAGAAGTAATTTAGGTGTTTACCAGTTATGGTTTCTTTATAAGCTTAATTAAACTTTTTTACGTATACTTATAAATTAAGCCCCGCCCATATGGAAATGTTTTTGTTTTGTTTTTTGTTTTTCTTAAATGCCTTTTTTTTTTTATTGTTTCAGTCTTGCCTTCACACAGAAACCACATTTTAAGAACCCTTAGCCAGTGGGTGTTTTTAATAGTTGTTTTTTTTATAAATTCTTGTGTTTTCATGTGGACAGCCAAAACACAACCTTTTGGAAACTGTGATGTCATAGACACGCCTCTGACCTGACCGACAACCATCATAACAACAATAAGATGCTTGTCTTTGCAAACAACAAACCCATCAATCAACGAGCGAAGAATGATTAAAAACATGAACTTGACTGAGCAGAGTAAAAACAAGAATCTGAGGCCCAAACGTTCTTGAATCACTTCACTGAGCTGTGAGCGGAACGAGCGCTGCGGACGTAACGATGTAAACATGTCAAACCTGTGGACGTGTGGACGTGTCCTGAGGGCTGAACAGGAAGTCTTCAGGTTTCTTCTTGTCCTTTCAGTGGCTGGTGAAACGAGCCATAGAGACGAGGGAGGAGATGGGCGATTACGTGAGATCCTACTCCGTTTCTCAGTTCCACAAGACCCACAGCCTCCCTGAGGTACGCCGCCGTGTTAGACGTTATCTAATGAGATCTGACTGAAAGACTTCGAGCGTTTCCTCCAAACAAACAAGAACAGGAAGTAGTTTGAGTCCTTGAAGCAGGAGATTTATTTAATTTTACCTGAAGTGTGAAAAGAGTTGTTCAGAGCCCGTTAATGAAACTGAAGTTCTTTAGGTCTGAACATTGGTGGATGTATCACGGTCTCTCTACGAGATCGTTTAATGAAACTTGAGATGAATTTGTACCACGACTACACGGCGTGTTGCCCAGTCTTTCCATCAGCCCAGCTCTACGTTCAAGGTCACAAATCAAGGTCAACGTGTATACACAGTCTTTGCTTGCCTGGACCATTGCAGTAAATTGTTGTACGTTTATTAACGGGCGTATGATGTGCCATGCGCAGGACTCTTGTCCTGCTCGATCCCTGATGTGTAAACTCAAACTGATCTGGGTTCAGTCAAAGCTTCTGTAAGTGAGCGGTGAAACTTCCTGTTGTAGGACGAAGACTTCCTCCAGAGGAAAGGGAAGGCCGTAAGAGCCGTTCAGGACGTGTTGGTGAGCTCTGCCACATCATCACTGTCTGACGCAGACGTGGTTTACAGGTTGTCCAGGTCAGAGTGTCTTAAAGGACAAACTGTGTGTGGACTTTTGGTCTTCCAGGAAGTGTACAAACCTCAGAGGAAGTATCGGAGGCAGAGAGATGCAGGACAGCTGCTGGATGAGGAGTCCAGGGTCCACTCCACTCTGCTGGAATACGGCCGGTAACCTCTCACACTGTGTGTGTGTGTGTGTCCTTGTTTATGCTACTTTGTAAGGGCCATTTTTCCAACTTATACTACATTGTGAGGACCACCTGCTCCTTTAAAGCCTGGGCCCCATAAGGAGAAGTCCCATTGGTGGATTAGGGGTTAGGTTTAGGGTAAAGGTCAGGGTTAGGCTATAGAAATGAATGAAAAATGAATGGAATTCAATGGAAAGGCCCCATAAAGATAGCAAAACAAACGTGTGTGTCGTTCCATATAAACACTATTCCCTCAGGTTCTTATGAGTCTTCATCTTATTTCAACATATTGTTGCATAAAAAAACAAATCGACTATAAACATGCTCATCACAGCAGTTTACTGGTGGTATCCCAGTTGGTCCATGTTCATTAGAATTCAAAGCGTTTACTCTCATTACGTTGTCGTTTTGTTGACGTTCAGAAAGCCACAGATCGTGTCACGTCGTTGCACCGTCACCGTCCTGAGAGCACATCGGAGAAAAGAACGAGTCCCGTTTAACAAGAAGAAACCCCAAACAAGACCGAGCTTAGGATGGGCCGCCATCTGCCTCAACTGGGACAGGAAAGAGACGCAGACAAACAGGAAGTGGTCAGAATGTAGTTTCTACGTGAATAAAGACGAACGTATCTTAAAGATAGAAGTAATTACAATTACAAACAGGCAGAGCAGGTAAAGACAGCAGCAGAGAGAGGACATGTCAGTTTGTCCTCCAGCAGCCTATAGCAGCAGAACTAAGGGACAGCTCAGGAAACCCAAACTGACCCTAACTATAGGATTTATCAAAAAGGAAAGTCTTAATCCCAGTTTTAAAACTGGACAATGTGTCAGCCTCACGGACAGAAACTGGAAGTTGGTTCCACAAGAGAGGAGCCTGAGAACTGAAAGATCTTCCTCCATTCTGCTGCTGGAAACTCTAGGAACCACAAGTAAACCTGCAGTCTGAGAGCAAAGTGCTCTGTTAGTAAAATATGGAACAATAAGACCTGTAATACTACTTAATTACTTAATTAAAACTAACGCGTCTCCTAATAAACTATGAAGGTTTTTGTAAAAACAAAAACATCAGACTTGTATTTCTATAGAAACCTTTCAGGCTGTATTCAAACAGGAAGTTGAGCAACACGTCGTCTGACCGCTGGACGGAACGGTGGATCAGTGAACACCAACAGAATTGATCAGATTTGACTTCTGCTGATGTAACTGTGGAAAAGTGGCAGTAAAATCAAATAAAGAGATTATTACCCAAAATGGGAGGAACGGGGATTAGGGAAGAAACATTCTTTAATTAAAATCAATTAAAATTAAAAAGACATATTCTTTAGTTAAATCATTAAATGGAAATCTTTTAATTTAGTGAATCCTGTTTGTTGTTATGACTGTAATCCATTAAAATGATTTAAGTTTGTGACCCATCCCATCACGTTAGGGATTAAGTCAGATTTGCTCAAACTGAGCCTATTTTTAGATGACTGTCTTTTTAAGCTACGTGTTGGCAGCTTGATCGTCACGAGCACTTCGGTTTGATTTGTGGGGTAGCATCAGGTACATGAAGCATAGTTTAGATTTTTTTTAATAGGGGGCCGAGATGGTGTAGGTCAGGGCAGCCGACTTGGATCCGAAGGTCTCGGGTTCGATCCCCGGTCATTGCACATCTCATGGTGTCTCTGAGCAGGACACCTTATCCCCAGCTGCTCCCTGGGCGCCTCCAAAGGTCGCCACGTCGTCGTCGTCACTGAACGAGTAAATCTCAAATCATTTGTGGATGTCAGGGTTTCCCAGCTGCTGTTGAAAATAGCTTTGCTAGCACAGGCTAAGCAGCAACACTTGAGGCTTTCCTGCTGCTAATCCTAATCCTAATCTCTGCTGAAACAATGTTTGGTAATGAGTTTTAGTGGTTTCACTCGGGGGACTCCTAAATAAACCGTTTCTGGTGTAACGTGTCACCTGTAGCGATGAACAGATGAGTCGCACGTGTTCGTCATGTAGCTCCTGCAGTTCGACGGTGACTTGATGAAACGTCGTCTCTGCTCCGGTTGCCTCTGACTCATTTCACGTCTCGTCTCCTCCTGCAGGGCGTGCCATGTTCTGCTGTAAGTACAGGAAGTGTGTGAGGCCTCCTCTGTGTTGTTTGTGGTGGATTGTGTTCACACTCACAGGCATGATGGATGCAAGCTGTGCTGCAGCCCCGTGACCTTTTCTTTATGGGTTTGACCCGGTGCTCCGGCTCTGAGGGACGAGCTTGTCCTCGTCCTGCTCGTTGTCCTGCAGCTTCGTGTGGTTAAAGTTTTATTCCTCGCTTGGCTCATGTCACACTGTTGTTTGTTTGTGTTTTTCTGTCAGGCGTTACGGATTCAGTAAGCAGTCCAAACAAGACAAGGTAAGGATCCAGAATAAACGAATGGGACATTTTCCAGACGAAAATAAGAATAAGTCTTTGTTGAATAATTTGTCCAGCTCGTGTCTTTAATTATAAAACGGGGATTGGAAACACCGTCGGCCGTTTCTCTGGTAACTGGGAAGATGAGCGAGGCACCCACTTCCTTTTAGCGTGCGGCTGCATCGAGGTGTAAGAGATTTTTACAAAAGTTGGGTTGCCAGGTCACCATTCAAGATGGCTGCCGTCATCTATGTTAACTTTCTGAACTGGATAACTGGAAACATGAGCAACGCGCCAACTTCACTTTTGGTATGTGGCTGCAAATAGACATAAAAAGATCCCCATTAAAATAGTTTTCTATAAATATAAACCGACCGCCCCGTCACTAAACAAAACTGTGCTTTCTAGTTTTTATTCTGCTTAAATGTGTAGTTTCCTCAAATGGTTGGGGTGGCCAAAGATTAATCTGTGGGGGTCACGGCCACCACTGCCCCCCCCCATCAAAGTGTCTGTGGTCAGTGTTTTAACTTTTATTAAAGTTTTTTATAATTTCACGGCAGTAACACAAACTGATAGATTGTTAATTGAAGGTGCACGTTCTGTGCACGTTCTGTTTGAGGAACAGTTATGGTTCTTTGTGTTTCCATCGACCCTGGCTTGAACCTTAGAACCAGATGTTGGGGGCTCAGACCTCGTTTGGACAAGGAGCACATCTGGAATAATTTTCTTGGCTTTGACTCTTGGTGTCTCCTCTCAGGTCGATGAAGGGAAGTCTTCTGTGGCCCGGGGCTCTCAGGCCCCCCCTGGGATGGCCGAGGTGTCAGAAGAAGACCTGCAGGCCGCGGAGGAGGTCAGGACTCGTTGGACACGTTAAAGAAATTAATTTTGGGACACCGTATAGAATTTATTGAGATTTCAAATGTTTCCATGGTTGTTGAAAACAAACGGATCGTAGATGAACTGCAGACAAAACGACCACGGAGACGTTCACGGACTCCACGTTTGACTTCTCTTCTCATTTAGATCCGGATCAAGTCCCTGATGACCAACATGGCTGCCATGGCTAACGAAGAGGTGAGCACGACCCAAACGTCTCGAACAGAACTGCACGTTTGAAATCATGTCTGCAGCTAAGATCAAATGATCTGGACTGAGACTGTTCAGTTGTTGGTCTTTGATAGAACTGTCAAATAAAGTCCCAGTACAGAAGCTGGTTCCTGCTCATCTGCTCACACAGACTCATGTTCGTGCTGGTCGCCGTATTGTTTGTTCTACTAGTGCTTAGTGCATTCTTAGTTCATGTCTTAGGTCCTATCACTGTTTTTCTTTACAATTTATACTTCTGCTGGATGTAACTGGGACCCTGTGTGCACAGTTTCATTCCATCTCATGTACCACATGTGATGGAATGACGATAAAGAACCTTGATGTTGAATAGGATGATGTAATCTGTCTAAATCAAAGCTTGTAACCGATGTGTATTTTTGTTCAGGGCAAACTGACTGCGAGTGCCGTGGGTCATATAGTTGGACTGCAGTCTGAGGAGATCAAGCAGATCGCCACGGAGTACGCTGAGAAGGTGAGCAGCATTATCCCTTCAGACACTGGCAGCTGTCGCGTTGTGCCGTCGAACGTCATCACCTTCCAGATTCATCGTGTTCGAGACACCTTCAGGCTGCGTGGGTGAGAAGGGATGAGGACCATCGTCCCTTAATGAGTCAGTGAATCAGGAGTCTGAGAATCAGGAGTCTGAGAATCAGGAGTCTGAGAATCAGGAGTCTGAGAATCAGGAGTCTGTGAGTCAGGAGTCTGAGAGTCAGGAGTCTGTGAATCAGGAGTCTGAGAGTCAGGAGTCTGTGAATCAGGAGTCTGAGAGTCAGGAGTCTGAGAGTCAGGAGTCTGAGAGTCAGGAGTCTGAGAATCAGGAGTCTGAGAATCAGGAGTCTGAGAGTCAGGAGTCTGAGAGTCAGGAGTCTGTGAGTCAGGAGTCTGAGAATCAGGAGTCTGAGAATCAGGAGTCTGAGAGTCAGGAGTCTGAGAGTCAGGAGTCTGAGAGTCAGGAGTGTGTGGATGGTTTGGGACCATTGCCCTGTCATGATTCAGTACTTCCCTCTGCAGCAGTTGGAGCTGACCTCAGAGGAGCGTTCAGAGCGGTATGGTCCTCTGCAGCAGCACCGCAGGGTGGTGGCCTCCATCAACAAACAGATTCAACAGAAGACCAAGCAACTGGAGGAGGTCAGCAGTTCTGTGGTCACATGTCCAACCATCCTCTGTATCAGACCGCTCCGATGTGGAGGAACTGGTTCTTTCACTTTTCTGTTCAGTTGTAGAAACCACCTGGTCAAAGTGGACACAACTACAGATCATACTCGGATCTAATAATGGACCTTTGTGTTTTATTCCAACAGCTCCGAGCCAAACATGCACAGGTGAAGACGGGCTGTGAAGACGCCAAGAGGAAGCTGATGGAGGTAAAGACCTGTAGTCTTCGTCTTTCCTTGTCGTTCTGCAGAGATTTCAGATTATCAGGGCGGGAAGTCTGCGTTATCCTAACGGTGTCTGGTTGATTTGTCCACGGTCACAGCAGCGTAAATGAGAACCTTCTAGAATGAAATCATCTTCTGTAAATGCAACAAGAGTCGAGGTCCGCTGTTCCTTATTCAAGATTCACCGTTTTCCTTTCAGAGTCCAAAAAACTTCTGGGAGGACATAATTTAATATTGGAGAAGACTTGTCTGTAGTTTGGACCCTAAACCAAAATAACTGGAAGAATGTATTTTTCAGAGAAGTTCTTTAGATAATGATCATCACTGTTGTTCTCACATGTACTATAAATGTGCAGACGTTATGATCAAAGAGCGTCTAAAATAATCAGCATGAACTTTTTCTGTGTGTAGCCACCTGTAAAGATATTCTTATTGTCAAACTGAACCGTTTTAGAAAAACACGATATATTTAATACATCATCTTTCAACATTAGATTTTAAAGCCCAGTAATATAGCATTATTTAAAATCCTAGTTTCAGTTCTGTGTGTTGTAATATTTATATACATTTCGATCCCTGATGAGCTGTGGAAGTCTGAGCGTTGGGGTCTGTTTCAGGCTGCAGAACAGTCGGAGAAGCTGGAGACACAGCTGAAGTCTTTAGAGGACATGGAGGATCAGGTGGACAGTGGGTGAGGACACATCACGTGCCTACCTCACAGTTACTGGCGAGCTCAGCCTTAAAATGACAGAACTTTGGTTAAACTTTGGAAGGTCTAACGGGTAAAATCAGCCACATCTTTATTTTATGTTTGTTTGTTTTTTATATTTATTTTCCGGTACTTTTTTATGGCTCTGTCAGTAAACACAGTTGTTCTTGCCAAACCTAAGAATCCATAATTTTTAATTTGTCAAATTTGTTTCAAATCCCATAACCTCACAGTAACATTAGCACACTCTAGTGTTCCTGAGGGGAAAAACCACCACTTAGAACTCCCATTATAAATGCAGCTCCACAGGACGTCCTTAACGGATGCACCAAGTTGCAGCAGCTGGTAATATATTTGGGTCAATTAAAGCAAAAACCAAAACAAACTGATGTTCTGCATGAGTGGAGTTTACAACAATAAATCTAATCGTAAAAAACCTCCATGACAGACCATGGAGGCTTCAGTTGGACTGAAAACAAGGAATCAGATTTTGGCTGCCTGATCTGGAAGGTCTTTGCAAAACTTGGAACTAGATTTTTTTTTTTTTTGATGGTCCTTAAGTTCCTTTAGAAAGTACTAATGGGGGAAATGCTTTTTTGTGCCACAAATGACCATTACAGTTAAATAATGTGGACAGTTTTTCTTTTTCCCCTAAGGAACACTAACGGTCAAAGTTAAGGACCTTCCAGGGTTAATCTCACCGTTTCACACAAGTTGTCAGTTCTTCCAGCTCAGCCCGTCCTTCAGTTTACAGCAGTAAATGTAGGATCACAATCTGTTTGTGTAAAGTGGCACTACCTTACTTCCTGTGTAGACAGGAAGTTGAACCATGTTTTGTTCTGTTAACCAGCCTGTTGGAGAAGCTCAGGTCTTTAGTGACCATGAACGAGAACCTGATGCAGCAGGAGCAGGAGTTCCGCTCACACTGCAAGGTGAGGACAAGAATCTGTCCAGGACTTTTCTGTTTTTGTTTCATTTAGATTTTATACGTACGTATGCAGACGATGTCTCCGTATGTACGTCAGAAAACTTTCTCTTGTCTGGGCCATAACCTCTGATCTGCTCAAGATAATTTAAGAAAACTTCATACACCTATGCTTCATCATTAAACGGGGGGTCGCATACATTTTACATCATCCCAGCTCCAAGGTCAAGGTCACAAGTCAAGGTCAAAGTTAACACATGGTCTTTGCTTGTCGGAACCATTACTTCTGATTTGTGTAAGATAATTTAAGAAAACTTCATATGCATTTGCACGACCTTTAGACAGCGTGCTGCATATCCTTTACATCACCCAGCTCTAAGGTCACAAGTCAGTGTAAAATATGCTGTACTCTAAGTTTTTGTTAAAATATGTCGTGCACAGGAAGAAATGTCCCGTCTGCAGCTGAACATAGACGAGTTAAAGTCCACATCTGGACAGGAAACTGAGGACGAGAAGGTTCGTTTTACATTTATTTTCCCAAGAGCGCAAACAAAATCTGATACTTGGCTATAAGATCAGCTGTTTTTAAGACCGTTTTAAATAATTTCAATTGTTTTCTCAGGAGAGGAGTCAGCTGATAGGGAAACAGTACGACTCGGACAGGGAGAAGCTCCAGAAGATCCGTCTGCTCATGGTAACCACACGATAAGAAATCTCTGCAAGCAAATGGGTCACAGCAGCAGATAACGTTCCGTAGATAAGAACCTGCTCAGAGAACAGAACAAGAATGCCAGGTCCAATTTGAAACACAGCAGACTCTGAGTTTGACCTCACGCTCACATCGGACCGGTTCTGTCACGTTTTCTTGTATCAGACTGTTCACGTAGAACCAGGTCCATCAGTGTAACAACAGAACATCCTGCGTCCACTGTTTGTAGACGGTTCGTATCTTTTTATCTGTTCTGGTTCTGTTCGAGTCCACCCTCTGTTCTTGTTAACATGAGAGATCTTTACATGCGACTCTGATCAAATAAGTTGCTCTGAACAGTTTTGGTGCTGGGCCTGACTGGGTTCTAGGAACAGTCCACTGATGGGAAGTTGTTTCTCGTTGGCCGGTTCTTCTTCTCTATTGACCAGAAGTTGCTCTTTGTTGACTGGTTTTGTTCTTCATCGATGGGATCTTGTTCTTTGTTAATTTGAAGTTGTTCTGCAAGAACACAAAGTTGTTTTCTGACTGGATCTTATCGTTGATGTAAAGTTGCTCTTTGTTTCCCCAAAGTTACTCACTGTTGACCAGATCTACTTCTCTGTTGACCAGATCTACTACTCTCTTGACCAGATCTTGTTCTTTCTTGACCAGATCTTGTTCTTCATTAAACATTTTGTTCTCTGTGGACAGGATCTTGTTCTCTGTTGATCAGATCCTCTTTGTAGAACAGATATTTTTCTGTTTGCAGGATCTTGTTCTCTTGTTTTCAGTTGACCATGTCTTGTTCTCTCT